AAGTGTTAACAAGGTTCTTTTTTTTCCCTATCTTCAATCATTATGACAATAGTAAATATGATTGGCATAAATAAATAAAAAGTAAAATGACGTAAGATGTCTAAACGATTAATATATGCTATCTCGATAACATATTCTCTATCTACTATGTTTTGATATCTTTTAGCTATTCCGATGGTAGAAAAAAAAAAAGAGAAGAAGATGAGCTTGTTAGCATTGCTTTGATAATGTTCATTATGAGATAATAATTGTCTTCTTATTTCTAACCTTTGTAAGACAATATACAAAAAAAAAGTTGATGATGATGATGATGATAATAATAATAAGAAGAAGAACAAAGTTAATATAATCGAGATTTATCATTTTGACATCATCTAACGTAAGAATGGAAACATATGTATATGTCATTCTGCTATTTAATATAACCCGAATGTATATAATATACAAAGTGCAATCATCAATACAATGAATGCATATATTGTTGAATGATGATGATGATGATTGAAACTTGTTTTTTTTTCTTTCAATATAATCAACACTTTATGAGAGTAAATATGCTCACGGCCATGACCTTGAATGCCCATCAATAAAAAAAAGTGCCGTGTGTTGAATATACACATATAAAAAGGGTTGTCAGGCACATGGTCGTAACGTTCATATAATCAAAGAAGGAAGCTCTATCAACAACAGAGTCTATATATACCTATCACCAATCCATAGAACAAAAAAAAAAGAAGAAAAGAGGAAGAGAGATCATTTAATCTCTGGATGCTATGTACTGCTGGTATTGTTGTTGTTACCATATATGCAATACCATGCGAGAAAAAAAAGAACGAGAGAAAAAAATACAATTGTGTTTGTTACCGTTCATAACGAATAAGAGTAGAGAACTGATCCCCATCAAATGTTCATCTTATGAAAGACGAGAGAATTATGCAGATATTCATGCAGAATAGACACTTGAATAAATTCAAATAAAAAAAATATATATATATAAAAGAAAATGAAAGAACGAAAGACTTCTATATACTTCAACATTTTCACGTATGTATTATATATTCTATACAACAATGTTTAAGTTTATTTTATTGAAAACAAGATATTTATATATATTGTAGATGTTTATTAAAAAATTTAAATGATTAAACGAATATTATTTTATTTTTTTCTTTTTCTCTTTATTCATATATTACCATCATGGAATTATGAATTTGAAAGTTGTTGTTCAAATGAGAAGACAACAAATAATACAACTCGTCTTCTATCATGTCCATTAAATTTTGTTATTAAATTACGTTCAGCTATTTTTTATACAGGTAATGGTTGTTCACGAAGTGAATGTCAAAAACGTTTGAATAAATATTATCTATCATGTAATAATCATCGTACATGTTCAATATCAATTCGATGTATTCTTATGGATTCATCAACATGTCCATGGTTAGAACAAACAAAAAGTTATTCACAACATTTAATTATTGATTATGATTGTATTTTACATAAATCAGAATCATCATTAATTATATTAAATAATCAAACAAAAAAAGAACAAAATAAAGATATTGTTCTTTTTTCTGCTAAAATAAATATTGAATCACCATTAGATTCAATTGATAATGATTCATTTATAATAGATAATGAAAATGAATGGAAAGAATATTTTCTTAAAAAATATTTTCATTCAAAACCATTAAATGAAGATAAAGCAATTATTATTCATCAACAACGTTCATTATTTAATGAAATACTTCGAACAATTATCATACTTATTATATTTACTTTTATACTTATTTTATTCATGATAATTACACTTTTTATTTATAAACATATTACATTAATGAAAAAGAAAAAATTTTATGGTCAAGATAAACATCGACCATTTCCATCTGATGATGCTTATGATAATTTAAAAGCAACACGAATAGAATCAGCAAGTGAAACTGGTACAACAACTGATGTGTGAGTTAATATGACTCTTCTTTTTTTTTTATTCATAATCATTTGATAAACTTTAATTGTGTGTGTGCGTGTGGGCTTGTTTGTTTATTATTAAAGTTTAACAAAATAATATATATATACATATATTCAGATAAAGATGTATAAGTTTCGGCACAATGATATATAACTAAAGGCAATGATGAGATAACATACAAACAAAGTTTTCTTTTTTTTTTTTCCTCGTTTATTTGCCTTCAACCATAATCGATATATATATATATATATATTTATTAATCTATTGTTATCAAGGGTTCAGTTACTGCTGGAAGAATTGATTTAGTCTCGATGAGGTGCAAATGAGCATGATGTAACATACTTTTAGTTAACCAGTTTCTATTATCAATAATGAAAGAGGAAAACGGGTAATGATCTAGTACATTAAAAACAAATACGAACTGTTAGATAGAACAATATGTGAGAAAACGAGATATGATATCCTACTTTTGTTCTCCTCATTATATTTGACAATGATTGCGTATGTTGTATATAGACCTTGGATCATTGGCGTGTCAACTATACACCACACGCGTATATTCAGCTCAAAGAGCTCAGTCATTTTATCCATATTTCTATGTACACATAGAAAAAAAAGCTCAATCAACTATATATATATATATATTATGTCATAGTGTGAATGAATGTTAGCCAGCATATGAGTCTAATAGCTTGTGCTATGCAAGTTGTTCAATGTCATCATTCTCATTATTGATCGATAATTGATTGATGGTTCTTTAAACAAGACTCTATCGTTTTTATTGTTAACGATTACATTATCTAAATGACTTCTAGTTCAACATGTTCTATATTATATTTGTACTTGTTGTCTTTATACAATTTTTCGATTGAATATATGCATATTCATTATACACGTGTTTGATATCTTCCAAAAATTGAATCAATATATATTTTTTTTCATATGAATTTATTCACCGACTAAAACTATATTGTTGTAGATTATATGAAGTTAAGATTGACAGATATATCTTATCAACAATGACCACAGGATATCGAAGCTGTATGTGGCCAATAATAAATTGACTATAGGGAATCAAGTTAAAATAAGTGCATCTTTGAGAAAGGATTTTTTTCAAAGAAAACAATAAATACAAATCAAGATATCAAACAATAACAAAAAAAAAATGTTTATTGATCTCTAAAAAAACAAAAATAAACAAATCTAACGATATTTTAATGCTAGTCGAATAAAATCTTTTCTTTATTTTATATAAAAATATCATAGTATCATTTCATATTGTATACCATTCACTAAGAACAATAATTAATGAATTGCTTCGATCATATTTTCTACTCAGTAGGTATCTAAAACATTCACTCGATACACAGCATGTATCTAACAAACAAACACTATGTATATTCGATTATGAATGTTAATTATTCACGTAAGTTAACAAACAACTCAATTATAAATGAACATAAAAACTGAAAGTCAGGAAAAAGAACATCAAAAGTAAATTGAATATTGAGAAAAAACAGTTGAAAAAAATATTTACAACTATATATTCAAGACTAATACTAAGAATATATTCTTACGTTTGTATCTTATACTTAACAAAAAATTCTTTCAAGAAATAACCATGAAACGAATATGAATTATACAATTCCAACTAATCATTACTGAAATCATATGTATTCAATTAATTATTGATTATATCAATCTGCATTAGAATTTTGAAACTTAATCCGACTTGCTAGCGGATATGAGTTGAACTTTGAAACGTGTCAAGTTCATTTTGCCAAACGCAATCTATCATTTTCTATGTACTTTTTCATGACTGATGTAGAAAACAATATTTCATAAAGCTATCGGTTCATATTATCCATATGGACCACAGCAATAGTTCAAACAAATCTGAAATGATGACATAACTTATCTTTCTTCTATACAATATGGTCAAAGCCATTAGAACCTTGATAGATCATTATACTTACATACTTTAAACGAGCTGTAAAAATTCTACATCATAATATTGTCTTAAATAATACAAAGAAATCATAACAAAGTTATTCAATTTCATTAAACTTTTCAAAAACATTAAACGATAACTTTTAAAGGAATAATAATGAAATAAGTGTTTGATCCTTTTATCTTTCTGATAGATATGTTACAGGATGAACATAGGAAATAGTGTTCATTCCAACATGCTCTATTACAAGAATATAAATGTTAACAATTATTTTATTCATTATATTTGTTACAGAAAATCTCTATTAATACAATACAGAGATTATCATTTCAATCATCACTTTTAAATCATTAGTTACTCGCTAAATAAAGATTGCTATAATATTATCATAGGTTCTTAATAAAGCTAGAGTGATAACACTTGATATCTTATACACTTCCAGAATAAGATGCTAATTCAATAATATATATATATATATATAAGCTTCGAAGAGTTTCTTGATATTGTATGTATGATTGTTATTCTACGAGTTAAAGACAATCCCATATGTCTAATTTATTGTCATCAAAGTCTATGACAGATAGACAAGATCTTAGTAATTAACACATTCGTAAATCATGAAGCCATGCTGTAGGGCTAATCCAACTTCATTGAATGCTAAGAGTTTAAAACTTTCAGAAGAGATTCGTCATCTTATGGAGATTTTCTAATAAAAATTTCAAATAAACTGATCAAAGACATCATGAAAACGATCCATTTTACTAAAAACCAACATTTTCTCTTCAATAAACATTCTTAATAAGTAGACAATATCGACCTTTCGAATGGAAAGTTGCGTGAAAATATTTATGCTAAGATGATGGGTAGATTGGTGCCTACGAACAGAATTTATTATCGGATGCATGCATACATCTAAAATATCAGCTCAATATCATAAAGAATAGTAGCACTTCATGCTGGATAGCTACTTTTACTGTACGTTCTACAAATCGTTGACTTTTGATTATTCTCATCATTAATTGATATATTAATTCCTTAATGCACATTTGTTTCATATATATATGTTTTTTTCTTTAGCTAAACAATTTCTAGTTTTACATATCCTAAGCTATATTTATGTTTGTTCACTTCAAAAAGTTGTTCAACAGCTTGAATATATTGATTATGAAGTTGATCGATTTCTTCAGATATTGGATTAATATTTTGTTTAACATGAATTGGTTTACCAACTATATAGAAAGAAATTATTTTACTTGATATATGAATAAGAATATTAGTTATATCTTACCAACAGTAACTACAGGACATCGACGTGGTATATGTCCAGCGAAGAGTCGACCCCAAACTATACCATTGGGAAATAAATTAAAACAAGTATATCGTTGATAGAGTTCATTTTCTCCAAATGAAATTACAGGTACTAATGAAGCACTAAAGACAAAAAAAATTATTATGTTTTTTTTTTTTTTATTATTAACCTTTGAAGAATTAATCTTACCCATGTTTTAATGCTAATGTAATAAAACCTTTTCGAGTCTTTAAATACAATATCATAGTATCATTTTTTGTAAGATACATCTCACGTGCACCACCGATGATAATAACTAGTGCATTACCTTTACCAGATTTTCCACTTAATAAATATTCACAACTATCTTTTGATACACAACATACACCTGAAAATAAAGACGATCGAAATGAGTTCTATTCAATTATGGATTATGAATATATTTCATTTACCTAAATTAAGAAGTACTTCACGTGTAAATGGAAATTGAAATTGAATATGAAGAAGCATTAAATGTGGTCGAATATTTGGAAAAAGAATTGAAAAATTTGTAGCATCTGTACCAAAATTACCCAATGCACTTAGAGAAAATGCACCATGTGGATGAAAACCAAATATATAATTTTGATTTGAATCAAGATCTTCACTTTTAATTAATTTAAGAGGAAAATAATTTACAAATTGTCTAAAAATAGGCAATTGACGAATTCGATTAGACCATCGACCTCCTTGTAAATCTGTGCGACGATCAAAATAAATCCAACATACATATATAAAACATATTGTAAGAGTCCTAGACAACGACCAAAACCATGACAAAAGAATAAATATGATAAACGTCACAATAGGTGAAAATAGAAAAATAGTAACAAGTAAGAATACTGTAAAAAATTGTATAAATTGTGTTAAATCTATCATCTAAATAGAATAATTTTCTTTATTAGAAGAAAAAAAAACTAATCACTGAAATAACTTTGATTTTAAATGAAATATAATCAATCAATCAATCAATCAAAAAGAAAAAGTATTCTTAAAATATCATAAAGAAAGTGAATAATGTAACCATCGATGACTTTTCGATGCTCCACTTCTATTATAGACAGTTTGAGCACGTTTATTATCTATTGAAGTTTCCCATGCTAGAGATAGAGCACCATGTTCACGTGCTTGTCGTGCACATTCAGTAATAACAATATCAGCAATACCTTGACCACGATATTGTTCGCAAATAAAAAGATCATTCATAATTGCAGAACGACCTCCAATTAATGTAGACCAACACCAGTATATAGTTGCAAAACCAATTGGTGTTCGTTCTTTAAAATCACGAACAATAAGTTGAATACCTTCATGAGTTGGATTAGCTATAAGTGCACGAGAAACACCCATAAGAGCATCATCACTAATTATAGGAATTTGTTCAGTTTGATGATAAAATTCACAATAAGCATGCATTAAAGGTAATAAATCAACTAGATCATTTTCATTAACGATTTCAATACTCCAACGTGGTTCTGTTTCTGATGTCGCCATCGGATTTTTTTTTATCTATGATAAAAATCGTCAAAATAACAAAAATAATATATGGGTTTTTTCTTTCTTTCTTTCTGTTGTTATTTTTTTGCGTCGGTAAATAGTCAACAGAGAGCTAAGGAGTCAATAATAAACGTTTTACAAAAGATGTCCTCGATTACCATACATTGGACTTATGAATTATATACATCAAACTCTATTTTATTCATGCATTTTTATTGTGATACTTCGAATAAACTACATATAGCTAAATCAAGTCATGAAGTTCTTATTATACTTTATCATAATGTATTCAACAATGCAAAACAGAGATCGAAAATGTACCAACTTGATTCGATTCGGTTTCGAATCCAGAATATCAAGACATCTATCTATCTATTAATACGAATTGATTTCAGTCTTGCAAAAATTACCCAGATCAATTTTATGTGATTTATATGATAGTTCAAATACACGTGCTTTATGTATAGTTGAATCTTTAATTCTAATATGTTAAAGAGTAAGCTCATCAATATAAAAAATATTTATTCTATACTTTGGTAAATAGTATCAAATAATTATTTAGATCAGAAAATCGAGTTTACTTGAAAATTTAATATTTCGATAAAAGAACATTCTTTTCGGCTGAAACTTTCTGGATATTCCTAGAGTCATTAGATCTATCTATGAACAAAATTTCAGGTCGAAATTTCATTATTTGATTTTTCGATAAATATCTAAAGCTAGGTCATAAGTACGAACTTTTTAAGGGTTTTTCTAATGTTACTGAGATCGTCACTGACAGGTATCAATTCAAATAGTTTCCTCGCATAAGACCATATTCTAAAAGTGAACAAACATCTTGTCTAAAAACTTTTCGATTAGATATAATTTCAAGTTGATGTATTAATTATGAATTAACTTTATTTGAAAAAGCTTAAATAATTGCACGAAAAATATTTATACATAGCGAAAATAAATATATATATGTTTTTTTTTCTCTAAATACGGATAAATATTTTATTTAGTCGTTGCACGAATTTGTTTTCCAAATGATAAAAATATCTGTTCAAGTGTTGTTTGTGATATTGTATATGTTTCAATATTTAATTGTTGTTTATTTTCTTCAAGTAATTGAAATAATTCAGCTGGTGTACTATGTTCAATTTGAAATACACCAGTTGATTGTGTTGTTTCTTTAATTTCAATATGATATTGTTTTTGAGATAATAAAAATGATTGAACATTTTGTATTGCTGTTGCATTTATATCATTATCAATTGAACGAACTTTTATTTCAATTGTATAACCTTGACCAAATTTTGATTTTAAATGTTGTATTGTACCTAAACAAGCTAATTGACCATGAACCATTATACCTAGACGATTACAAACACGTTCACTAAAATAAAAAAACAACTAGCATAAAAATATTGAACAATCTGCAGTTTTCTGTATTCGAAAGAGAACAGATAACTTTATCAGTCTATATAAAAATCAAACAATCAAGCAGTGGTCATTTCCCAAATTCATGTTAACTTTATTAGATAATCATTTTGTAGATGAACTCAAGACGGTTTTGTTGCTAAGTTATAGGCATTCTTCTGAAACCCTCGAAATCGATCAATTGGTCAATTGTGGAGGTCTCAGAAGAATGCTTATAACTCACCAACAGAATCATCTAGAGAAGTCTTGATTTTGCTCTATCGAATAACTATGTTAAAACTCAATATTTATTGGGAAATTTTCCAAAAGCATCATTTTCTAGATAGCCGCTAAAAACTGACTACTATTTGATTGTTTGATTTTTACATAGAATGATACAGTTATCTGTTCTCTTTCGAATACTGAAAACCGCAGATCACTAGCTACTTTCATGCTTGAGTTATTTATGATACAACAAAGTCTATTGACTTTTTGAACGGATATTAAGATTCGCGTCAAAAATATCGTTTTTTTTGAGCTTTCTACATGGTCGAATAGTCCACATTTTCTACTCTCGGAATCACTATTATTCTTAGTTTTCACGATTTTTAAGAGATTTTGTAAAAAATCCACAAGTAGGAAATGCTTGGAAAACTTTAATTTTTGAAGCTTTGGGATTTTGCTAATAGGCTTCTGATTTAGAGAATACATCCCGAATGCTTTAGTAATTGTGCTTCATGCATCTCCTTCATGTGGCCTCTCACAAATCGCTCCACGAAGAAAAAAACCTGGATGTCCAAAGTTCAACTTTGTTGGGTGCCTTTTTCAAAACAAGTTTTTTTTGTTCGTGTGTCTGAGACTTCTCAGCCATTTTATTTTTCATTTAATTTTTGAGCAAAATGGATAGGAGTACCCCTATTTTTTCGAAAAAAATTGATACGAAAAATTAACAAAGAAGCGCTTTAAATAATCGAACTCTATTAAGTTGTAGCAGCAAGCGTTTCACAGCAACATGAAATCTCGAACGTTTTGACCGTTGATATAGGAATAACTCTTGAAGAATTCAATATTTCGGACTGAAATTTTTACTATAAGCTTCCTAGACTTGCACTTATGTTTTCAGATAGATCGGTTGTTCTGGGACGAAAATAGATTTTTGGCAGGAGAAGGAGGAGGAGGTATAATTTATTTTCTTTTTACCATTCATCCATTGAATGACTAGTTAAAATAATAGTTAATTTTGCTTTAACAGCATTTAAAAATATTTCTTGCATTTGTTGTCGCGCATGTGGATCAACACCCGTTGTTGGTTCATCAAGAATAGCAACTAATGGCGGTCCTTAACAAAAAAAAAAAAACTTAATCATTTCTTTTCATTTGATATCTAACGGGTGGACTGTAAATAATCGACCTCTTTGTATTTTTACGATTTCTTCTCTATTATCCATGTGATTAAACTATCTTTTTTTTACCAAAATATGCCACTTGAAATTCTCTATAAAGATATGTGTGACTGGACTTAAATGTCACTTTAAATATATTTCATAACAGAGTAAAAATTTATGCAGTGATTTGGGTGGAGTAGTTTCATTAACAATAATTAAATCATAGATTCGAATGATCAACAATACCGGATCTATCAATTTATCGCATTCTCTCAGTCGTCTGCGCACAGTTCGAACGAAAGCCAATATTTCAAAGGTTAAATATCGTCTGGCTCAGAAGAAACGAGTGTCAACAGGACGATTTTTACTGATGAAAAGTATTTTGATTTCGATGAGGTTTATAATAATCAAAATGATCAAGTGTAGGTTGCCAAGAGGGAAGAAGCTGACAAGAAAGGTATCATACATGAGAACACAAAACTTACACAAAAGATTATGGCTATATCTTGGCGTATGTAGTGAAGGTTTAACAACACTAATGATTTTTGAAGATGGTACTATGGATGCAGAAAGATATATCAAAGAAGTTCTTCCAGTAGCTCATGAATGCGGCAATAATACGTTAGACAGCCACTGGACATGTCAACAAGATGGGGCAAAACCTCACATATATCATCTGAGCTAAGAATGATGTGCTGATCCTGATCATTTTCCTACATTCATCTCGAAGAACCGTTGGCCACTAAATTCATCTAATTTATGCCCATTAGATTACAGTTTATAGAATGAATCTATGGACTGGGACAAAATTACAACAAAGCCAACATTGATAGACGAAATAAAACGTTCCGTCAAAAAAAATTACCGTTCTGCACTTGATTTTACTGTAGGATTACGTTTAATTCAAGGAAATCGAGGAGATTATATTCGTTAAATAAAATATATCATTTTGTGCAGAATTTCAAGCGCTATCTTTTGATAAAAAAAGTGTTTTAATCAAGGAGATAGTAGAGAAGAAATCTTAAAAATACTAAGAGGTCGGTTACTTATGGCCCACTGATTATTTTACCAATTAATGCTATAGCAGTATGTAATCGACGTTTTGTTCCACCACTTAATTCATGTATATAATTATTTAAAAATGGATCAAGTAAAAATAATGAACTTATTGTTTGAACAATAGATTTTATACGTGAAGATTTAATACCACGTATACGTGCTAATAAATAAAGACTATCATGAACAGTAAGATAACTCATACTACAATTTTCTTGTGGACAATATCCTAAATGACGTGTTGATCTTATTCGACGATGAACATTTTGTCCATCAATATAAGCCGTGCCTTGTGTTGACATTAAATCGCCAACAATAATACGAAATGTTGTTGTTTTTCCAGCACCCTAATTTAAATTGATTACAAATATTTGTTTATTTTATTTATTTTTTTCTATACTTACATTATAACCAAGTAAACCAAATGCTTCACCACGTCGTGCACCAAATGTTAAATGATTAACAGCTAAAATTTTACGTATTGGATAATATTTAACAAGATTATTAACTGTTAAATAATCAATATGTTCTTTATTATTAGATGAATTTTTTTCATTATTTAATATTCGATGACGTTCAACTAAAACATCATCATCAAGTTGATTTTCATTAAAATTTGATTTATATAAACATGATAATGATATTTGTAATAAACCACTATCAATTATAATTAATATTAAAAAGAATAATAATATATGTAAAATAATAATTCCAATATTCCATTGAATTGTATCATCACCAATTGCTTTAAAAAGTTTCAATGCAGGATCATCTAAACCAAATGGATCAGTAATAAATCTACATAATCGACTTTTTTTTGCTAAAATATATGTTATTATAACTTGCGAATTTATAGTTGGTGATATAAGATTAAATAACCAATATAAAAATTTTCGAATAAATGTATTTTCTATTATCATTGTTACAACGGGAATAATAATACTTATAAAATGAGAAACTATTAATAGAAAACATATTGTTATACCACCCTAAAAATAATTAAAATTATAGAATGAAAGAAATTCTGATTAATTTTTCTTTTTTTCTTTTTTATAAATGAAAATAGTTATACAAAAATGTCTTTCATACATACAAGAATATCACTTCGAAAAAATTTTGTTAATAAATAAACAAATGGTAATGTTGGTAATGTAATTAAAATTGTTAATGGATAAAATTGTATACGTAAATTCCATGGACTAGCAAATTCAAGTGGAATCATAGTTTCTAAGTGAGGTTTCTTATTTGGTACACCATGAAAAGCAATATCAATTATACAATAAATAGCAAGTAAATAACAAAACCATATAACAGATATAATTATATCAAATAGATAACTAAATAGCCAATATGATGCTGGACTAGAATACGAAATATGTTTTATTATTAATTATTAATGAAATCGAACAGATGTTACACGTTTTATATGAGAAAAAACATCTTAAGAAGAAATGTTTCCAAATGTGACTTGTCAATCAAGCTGATATCTTACCCGTAAATAGGTCTTGTGGACTTTAAAATTCTTTGAAAATTTCAGCTTATAAGAATTTATTCTTAGACTAACATTTTTTCATTGGAAGTGATATTTTTAATAATCGTGTAAGACTTGCATCAAATATCATATTCTCACGACTCATATATTCTAAAAGTCTATGCGAAAATTATTGTGTAACGATCACTTCAATATTTGTTATTACAATTTAGATAGTAAAATTAATCGGTTTCTTTTCGTAAATAAACAGAGTATTGGTGAATTAAAAAAAGTAATGAATCTTCAAGAGGGAGAACGTTAGAAGTCGTGCAAGATGTCTCGAGTGCATTGGGATTGCTAGAAAATGATATCGCATTTTCTGCTAGCACATTTATTACTAAGCGCGAAATTATAATCAAAATTTTTTTTCTGATTTGGATCGGGACCAAAAATTATTGGTTTCACTCATCACTGGTCAGAAGAAAAAGTATGAAAACGCAGTGTTTTCAACATTCGATATCTCAAGTATGACACATTCTTTTGGGCTGGAATTTTCAGGGTATTTTAAAGTCTATGAGACTTATCTATGGGCAAAATTTCGAGTGCACATATACCTTGTCTGAGATAAAAACGCAATAAAATTGTAATAACTTGGGATGGATAGCACATGAAAATGAGTCCTTATAGACTTCTATTAGTCTCATCTGGAGCTACTTGTAGACAAAATATCAATTCGATTGACGAGTCATACACTTAGGGATCTTCCCTCCTTAGAACAAACAATAATTTTGTAAAATCCTCAATCTCAAAAATTGTGATTATGTCTTTAACCGGAAAGTTCGCTCAAATTTTTAATTCAGATAAAAATAGAATATTTAATGTCTCAATAAAGTTACCATTCAATCCTTTTAAAGATTAGAAGGTTCACTTGGTATCTTTCTGCCTCTAAAACCCGATAAATTCCACTAAATCAACACTTGCTTGTTGGCGATGAATAATACATGTTCACCTTTTTGATAATTCAGTTTTCTCTTCATGTATTCAATTACTTCATTATATGATTTCTCATCATCAATAGATGAATTTTTATTAAAAAACGAATTCTTTTAGTACGATAATATCGCTTTTCACTTCTGTGATCTATTCTCAAGTACAAAAAAAATGCTCATATTTTCACTCCTATGCTTTTATATAAATTAGTAGTTTGAAAAAGTAAAAATATTTTGAAACGTGAAGATCTCGTATATAGCCGAATGCTCGATCCCATTACAGGACATTAGCAGAAAAGTTAAATAATCCGAAAGTTCACTTACTGTAAACCACTGATATTCAATAATGATAAAAAGCTATCTTTTCGTTCACTGATTAAAAATACAGTTGTATAAAAGAAAAAGATATAAAATATAAATCTACGAAAAAAAAAACAATTCAAATTTTTCATGAATTTTTCTTTTTTATATTACATACACATCAAGTAACAGTGATATTGGTAATAATTTAAGAAAACATGATGCTGTACTTAATAAATTCATTAGAATACCAACAGATACTTGTGCTGTAAAATTTCCTGTATTTTTATAAATAAGTGTTGTTTGAATTGATGCACTTGTATCATTTAATATATATTTATAGAATGTATTTGATGCAAGTGAAATAATTTCATGACCAGATATTAAATTTGATGATAATGTTTGAATTGTATATTTATCTCCAATTGGTTTAGGAATATTAAAACCAAGATAAATATCTGTATATGTATAAGGACGTTTCATTCGTTTTTCTAGAATAATAAGGAGTTAAAAATTTAGTTTATTTTATTATAGCAAAAACAAAAAAACTTACGCCAAATTTGTTGATTCATTTCTGTTATATTTGCTGATCCTTGTTCAAGCTTTGAACCATCAATAGATGCGCGAAAATATTTTTCTATAATTGGATCTGTATGATATATAATTGTTTGTGGATTAAGAGAATTTAAATTCATTTTAAATATTCCACTGTCATTTCCACTACGAAATATTAAATTTGATAGAAGATTGTATAAAATAGGTAATAATAATATAATAAATGTTAATGCCCAACGACGATAACGTACAAGTGAAGTTTTTATTATTAAACCATAACATTGATTTAAATGATAAGAAATACCAGTAAGAAAATGTCGATCATTAAATACATCATGACATTGTTTGTCTAGGATAAATGATAGATAAATCTATTAATCATTCCTGATTATAATCAAAAAGATTCAGAAAGTAAAAGAATAAAATAGAAAAAGGAATTTACTATGTAATATCCGATTTTATCTAGGGTTGACCAAAATTTCTCATCCTGATATCGAAGGTTTTATTGCTTGAATACATAAATAGAATGTCTCATCTATAATAATGTACATAAGTAACAGAAGAAGCTATTGAAATAATGCTATATTCACCAGATCTTGCACCATGTGACTTTTGGCTAAATGATTATACCAAGGGCAATTCGACTGATCAAGCAAACGAAGAATTGCTAGCTCAAGAAGTTTCGAAGATAGTGAAGAATATTCCAGAAAAAGAGTTTAAAAAAAACTTTCGACAAAGAATGGAACTTTGTATCTATATATATATATAATGTTCAGTGTGCATTTCTCTGTGACGAATTAAAGGTCAGAGGTCAAAGGTTGAATAAAGCTATAAAGGGGTAAGGCTACAAGAGCTACAAGAAATATAAGGCTCTATGGCTACATCGTCTATTAGGGACCTTAGAATGTTACGCCGTAGGGCTTCTATGTACATGATGTTCAGTGTCTGTATGTTTGTTACCGAGTGGAAGGTTAAAGTTTTTAGGTTGTACGTTAAAGAAAAAAAAAGCTGCCGTGCAGTATGCACAAGTTTTCGCTAGTAAATAATAATGGTGAGTATTTTGAATATTTAATAAAATTAAATTAAAAATATCTTTTTCTTTTTAGATTTTTATTTGATGTTATCAGAACTTTTGCTCAACCCTAAATATTATAGACTTTATCTAAAATAATGTTGGAATTAAATCCAAGATAGAGTGTTATATGCATTATTGTAGACCAAGCATTCTAGCCTGTGGAATCCAAGAATTTCTGGATCTGAACCCTACACAGACTCGGGTAGGACTCGACGGGCTCGACGAGGCATTCTACTATGTATTCATGCAATAAAACTTTCAATAGAACTTTTGGTCAACTCTAAGTACAATGAGTCAAAAAAGAGAGATCATCTTTGTTCGAATAATTGTAAAAATCAATTTTTCCTACATAGACTTCAATTTGATTAAATCGAAAATTACTGAAAAATATTTTGTTATTATAGATCTGCTAATCAAAGACGATTTTCTTATATCCGAGATCATTTCATCACAAATGAATTTCTTTCACACGAAAAAACTATAAAATTTCTCATAGACATATATGTATATGATTCGATAAATAAAACTTAATTACAAACCAATTTTATCAATATCGATTGATGTTGAATTTGATTCATTATCATTTTTTGTTTCTCGTGTTATTTTTAAAAATACATCATCCATAGTACTATTTTGTACACCATAATTTTTAATTCGATTTTCTTTTTTCATAATTTCAAGTTGATATAATGCTTGTACAAATTGTTCATTTGGTTGTTGATTAGTTCGAAAAACAACATCACCATCAGATATATCTGTTTCAATTTTTAATTTTGGTAAATATTGATATAATTCATTTTTAATATCATTTGTATGATAATTATGTTGTTTATTAATAACTAATTTATAACCTAAAATTAATTTTTTTAAACAAAAAAAATATATGTTTGTTTTGTTCTTCTACCTGATCCATATTGTTCTTTTAATTTAGCTGATGTTCCATCAACTTTAATATTTCCATTAGCAATAATTATAATACGATCCGATAATGCATCACTTTCTTCCATAAAATGTGTTGTTAATAAAAGTGTTTTACCTTCTTTCATTGAACGTAACCAATCCCATAATAAACGACGATTAGATGGATCAAGTCCACTTGATGGCTAAAATTTATTCTAATAGAACAAAAAAAAACAGAATTTAAATTAAATCAATATTTTACTTCATCAAGAAGAACTATTTTTGTATCACCAATAAATGCACAAGCTAATGATAAACGTCTTTTCATTCCACCAGATAATGAATTACAATAAAGATCTTTTGAATTTTGAAGATTAACTAAATAAAGCATTTCTTTAACTATTTTCTTTTTATTTTTTTCAAATCCTCGAGCTATTGCATAAAATTCTAATTGTTCTTTTATTGTTAATAAATCAAAAAGAATATCATGTTGAGGACAATAACCCATTGATTTTCTTAACATATCAATATTTATTTGAGTATCAAATTCTATTCCATCTTCATTTTCAATTGTTATTCGACCTGATGTTTGTTTATATATTCCAATTAAACAATTAAATATTGTTGTTTTTCCTGAACCATTTGGTCCAAGTAATGATGTTATTTGATTTTCATATAAATTAAATGAAACATCATTAACAGCTATTTTATCAGGACCAAATTTTTTCACAAGATTATAAATATGTACAATAGGTTTTCCAATAGAATTTGATGTATTACTATTAGAAAATGAATGTTTACAATAATCAATTTTTTCTGAACGCCAATAATCTCGTTTAAATAGAAAATTCCATTCAAGTGGAATTCCATATATACCTAAAAATATTTAAATTTAATATTAACAAGAAAACCAGTCGAATTAATATCTGCCGTTAGCCTACAAGAATGCCTTGGTGAGGCTAACAAAATTCTGAAAGAGTTCGTTTCAATAACCACGTAAAGTTTTGTACATAGATAGGTCGAATGATTCGTAGAATATCTTGAAAGTTATAGTTGAAAAAGAATATTCTTTTGTCGAGATTTTGAATTGTCAAATACATTCAATTTTTGTATCATCTCTATGGCGAAGAGCTATTTTTGAAATTTCAATATTTCTGCGAAAAAAAAAATATTCTATAGACGACCATTCGACCTATCTATAGACAATATTTTACACCGAAATTCAGTTTTTTGGTATATATTTAAAGCTGAGTCGAAAAATCAGAAAAACATTAACTGGAACTCTAAAAGCCCATAGAGATGAACCCTTTTAGAGTTTTGTTAATCTTATCAAAGAGTTCTTATAGACTCAATATAATCTCAAATGGCGGGTATCGGTGTAAGATAAAATCAAGTGTTCAATAGCTTACATATTTAGAATTCTCATTTTTCTTATGCAAACTATTAAGAAGAAGGATACAAAATGGTGTAAAACAATTCTCTAGATTCATAATGACCAATAATTCATCAAAAAAAAGCAAAAAAATCTTTTTTGTTTTTTGTATTTTTAAATTATTATTACTTATTCATATCTCTTTACCTGGAAATACTTTTTCCAAATACCAAGACAATACCCAATAGAAAATACAACTAAAAATCATAATAATCAATGTTGGAAAATACATTGGTACATAATAATAAATCGTTCGAAATAATGATACATCTATTTTTGCCAAATCATGTAAAATTGCTTGCTAGAGAAAAAAAAAATTTCATTTCAATTATCAAAAAAATTAAAATGAAAATCTCACTTGAAATAATGAATGTCCAGCAATATAAGGACTAAAAAATATTAATACATATTGTATACCCGTCGGCCATACAATACTGTATGAAAAAACAATTAATGATATCAAATAAATCAAAAATGTACCCAATATTGCACGAACATTTTTATCAAATAATTGTACATTCATTATACAAAATGATATTAATTGTAAACCTAATATTAAATAACCAATAAAGAGAATACCAAAATTAACTGTATTAAAATATGCATCTGGTTTTAATTTTAATTTATATACAATACATAAAAGTAAAATAAAAAGACAAAGAATAATTAATGTTCTACAAAAATGAAATGCAGTTTGTTTTTTTTTCTAAGAAAAATTTCTTTTATTTTTACCGTATTGCTTGAGCAAAATTATTTAAAATAGGTTCAATGCCAAGTACTTTAAGAATTTCTTTAACTTTAGCATTTTTTTCTCGAATTAAACTGATTAGAAGAATTAAATATCTAATAAATAAAAGTTGACTTCATATTTTTGTTTTTTTTTTACTTACGGAATCAGAAAAATAAAATCAATCATAATTAAAATTGTTGTAACAAGTATTGATCCAGATTCTTAATAAGAAAAGAAAAAAAATGAAAATAAATATTATTCTATTTCGAATTAATATTAATTTCAACATACCAAATATAGAATCTCGACGAACTGGTGTACAAGTTATAGGACTTCTTTCAAGTTCAAATTCAATTGTTTTATTTGTTTGATAATCAATAAGTAATGAATCAATAAACATTTTAACATCAGTAAATTCAGGTAATTCCGAACCTTCTTGATCATCACTACCTGTTACATTCGATCGATCGGGAATAAAAGCTAAACAATTGAAATTTTATATTATTAAATAATATAAAAATTATATTATATACTTGGATGTAAAAATGATATAAATGACATATCAACTGGTGCATTTTTTATAAAAACATTCGACGTTCGAACCATTATGTTATCTAAAAACAAAATGAATCATAATCATTATTCATTATTTTATTTATTGATTATTTCAATACTAACAATCAAGATTACGTTCAGTTTTAAGATTTGATGTTGAACCAAAATCAATAATAATTGTATTTTCTATTTCATTTTGTAATAAATAAGTATCATTTCCATCATTTATATTTTGACTCCTTTAAATAAAAAAAAAGTTTTTTGTTTCTTTTTAATATAATTTATATATATGATATTAACTTACCATATTTTAGTATCCTTACAATTCATTTTTGTCAAACGTGTTTTAGCAAGTATAACAAGTTCATTTGTTTCATTTGTCATTGGTTGAAATATAATATTTGTTTTATTTGAAATAATATTTGAATCTAATAAAGACCATTTACGTCCTTTATAACTTGGTGGAAATTTAAAACATTTCGTAAATAAATCTTTTGATAATATTGTTGTTGTTGTATTTATATTTTGTGAACATAGAGGACCACCAAAACTTCTTGAATTTGAATCAGAATTTCCATTCATTTCTCTAATAAGTGCATTTGTACCATAACGAGCTAATGCTAATAATCCTATTATAATAAGAGGAAATAATAATTCACAAAGTATTGTTGGACAACATCCACAACATCGTTGTCGATATGAGTAACGAAGTGAACGTTGTAATAATAAATTAAGTTTACGTGATGAACCAATTGAAGTATATTCAGTTTTAGTTAATTTTTCATGATCTGTTTGATTTTCCGACATTGGATATTCATTTGTAATATCCATTGAATTTTTATCTAAATTATATAAACGTGATTTTGTTTTTACTTTAATTGTATAGTCTTCATCGATAAACATTTGTCATGAATCCTATGATTATTAATAAATGATTTAAAAAAAAAAAGAATATTCTCGACAATAGAAGCATATTTTTATTTTAATAGAGTAATAGTTACTTCGTATTATGCCTGATGGTGTTTTTCTCATTGAATCAGAATCATATATTTTATTCATTTATTTATTCACAATAAATATCAATGAATAATAAAAACAAAACGGATTTATATTTTATCATTGATAGACAATAATGAAAAGAAAACAGAGATGAATACAAAACACATGATTAAAGAGTCAATAGCTTACATCAACTATTTAATATAGTATGCTATTCGATACATTTGCCTTTCGTATATTGTTTATGAATTGCTGATATATCGAATGTTATAGATTATATACTGATAAGCTAATCAAACAGCAACGATAAAAAAAAAACGTTCAAGATTACACCAATTTCATATTTGTCACGTTGCAAAAAAGTATTAGAACTGACATTTAATTTATATTTAAAAGAGAACAAGTTCATTTTATCTTATTTGAACAATTTGAGATAAAATACTCATTATACATCAGACTACTTTTTCGAGACAACAGTTGATGTAAATAAAGAATGAAGATTAAACATAGACATCATGTAAACGAATAAGACAACTGTTTTTGTTTTACTTAGTGAATGATTGTAAGAGAAACTTAAAAAAAAAACGAGCATAAATGTTTCATTTTGATCTTAGTTTTTATTATAAGAAGAAATTATTATATAACAGATTTTGTTCAAAATTAAATCCTACGTTACTATTTAATCGTATCGTGTTACTCATTTATGTATATGACAACGTGACTATTCTATAAATAGCTTTCATATATTGACATAGTTTATCATTGAATGTATATCTAATATCAAAAAAAAAAATAAAACTATTTCCTCAAGTCTTTATCATTTATCAAATATACAAAATGAGAAGACATCTGTCGCATATTTTTTATCTAGATCCTTATCTAATCGTTCTCAAAATTAAATTTTATATGCAGAACAAGTCATGACTCAATACTTACTTTCAATAGAAGATTCCTGTTAGAGAAACAATAGGCCGAACATAATTAGAAGAGTCTATTTATATGATGTTCTTGGAAAATTGATCCTTTAGTTATCAAGATTTAGAACTACTATAACTTGCATGCTTGTCATTTTCTGTTCCGAACTTTGAGATTTTACAATATTGCAGTCATTCTCGTGATATCTTACTAAGGAAATAATATATTCTTTCAATGTACTATAACAATGCCGGATTTAAATAAGAATATTTCGAATTTCTCAGACCTTTATCAATGAAGTTTACCACAAGAGAAACGAAATTTCATGAACTAAGCAAAGGAGAAATATAGATAGGTTTATATATTGAGTAAGACAATAGTATTGAATCTTTTTAGACCATTCCAAGACTTATTCATAGTCAGTGTATGAAGTCAAACAATATCCGATAGTTTCAAACAGAGCTCTGCATGGGATGGGACAATGCCATCTCATCCTATGCAAGATTTTGACAATATTCTATCTCATCGAATACAATAAATATCGCATGGGATCCGACAGGATAAACGTCTTTTACAGAATTTTATTAAAAATAACATAATTATTTCGAAATAGATGTCTTTCTCGACTATTCGAGCGGAATAAATGAGAAATAATTTGTTTTCCTACTCTATAAGTAGTTAAGCACTGTAATCATTAGAATTCGATAAAACAAATAATAATGAATCAACGTATAAAGTAACAATGCAATTCGATCTATTGTAATAGTAACAAATGATATGATTGTTGGTCTTACTTACAATCGATAGTATGTCTTTGGATAATTCCTCGTCTATTGTTCAATATCAATCTGATCAATTTGATTCAATAAACTTAGTCACTGCTTCGTCTTCTTCTATCATCATTTTATCTTCATCTTTTATTATGGATTCTCCACCAGCTGTTCATGAATTTACAACTGAATGAATTATCCGTTTATTAGAAAAAGATTCATCGAGTTGTACCGTCATTAAAAACACAAAAGAATAAATTATCTTTGGTTTGTTGACAGACGTCTTATTTTCTAGCCAAGAAATCTCGTATAAAAAAGAATTTGAGGCTTTGTCAGTTGTCAATTATGTTTTCAGTCATATGCATTTACATTGAGTTCTGATCGACGAGTATTCAACACGCATAGTTCTGCTCAAAAGCTATCTTCTAGTACAAGAAAAAGATCTTCGTCGGTAGATGACAATGAAATTAGAAACAGTTTACATTCATACAGAGAATAAGAAATATGTTATTTCAATGTGAAAATCAATAAAAGAAATATAAACTTGATTATAATAAAATTATGAAATACAATATGAAATAATGTAAAATTTGGTAGTATTAATGGAAACGATAGATGTGTTCAGAATTTCTTTATAAGATATTTGGCAAGTGTGAAGTTCCATTCCATGCGGAGCTCTGGTTTCGAATATAATTTCTACTTCCATGCCTCTTATTCTTCTCAAATTGTTATCAACATTACACCTGTCAACAAATAAAATTGGTCAATATTTATTAAAATAAAACGGTGAAGAAATATTTATTATAAAATCGATCGACTAACAATTGAATAAATAAACAGACAAATGCAATAAAAATAGAAATACTGAATTCCAATTCCATTTTTGATCTTGTAATAATGCATTGATCATAAGATGATCGGTTAGCAATAACAAAACAAAATATATGATAAATACATAAATTGATTTGATTCGAGTGTAAATAAATATTGAATAGTTCTATTCGAATTAGAAGCCCCTAAAAAAAAGTCAAATTTGTCGATTTTATGATTTATAACTCGTTAGGTAGAGCGAAGTATCTACTTCCAAATGCACTACAACTTATTGCTTTTGTGATAAGATTTAAGGATATTACGTAGGTTTTTCTGAACGTTTCACAGAAGAAAAATAACGTTTTTTTCTAAAAACTTTTGGTTGTGTCTCAAAATAGAGTTTTTGATTTTTACGTTTTCGTCTGTTCCAGATTCCTTCGCCATTTTAAACGCTAGAAAGCTGGGCTCGGTGTCAAAATGAAGACAAAAACTAGCTCTACAACTTAACAGAGCCGAATTTTTCGATTTCTCCATCAATGTTTATAAAAAACCTAACTGCTCTGAAACTATACCTCTTGAATTTTCCATACTTCATCAGAAGAGTTTTCTAAAAAAACATAAGCTAAGAGAAAATTGAAAAATCCGACTCTGTTAAGTTGTAGCACCACATCTTGGCTACATTTTAAAACCAGTTCGACTTTTCTAGTATTTGAAATGACGAAGAAATTTGGGACATATGGAAACCTAAATTTAGGCTTATAATCTTAAACTAACTCTTCGTAGATCGAATATATCAAGCAAGTTTCATTTTTAAGGAGGTAGCTGAAAAGTTTTCGATGCTTTTTTTTTTGAAAATTTCCTTCATTCCGTGAACTTTTGAAATAACCAGGGTAGAAAATGCTGGTAGAAAACATGATGATAAGAAACTAGACAAGAACATCTCTGAAAACTGATCCTAGATGTTCAAAATTTCCAAAAATCTAAAATATATTTTTATGTTCTGGCAGCTACTGGTCTACTGAAGTGTCGGCGGCGGCTAAGCTGATCGGCTTACATCTCTATCAATAAATAACCATTTATTTGTATTTGAATATTCACGAGTACTAGATAATTTAGTTGAAATATTATACTCATATATCTTTAAATATATTCAAACAAACGAATATATAAATATCAATTTGTATTGTTAAAAATTAGATTTCTATTTTTGTTCATCTTACATATTGAAAATAGATAAGAAAAAGCATGAAAATTTATTTTCTTGAGAAATTAAAACAGTTTGATATTTGTTAAAATGACTTGGGCTTTTTTTTGTTGTAGATACAATCACAGTTAAAACAAAATACGAAAAAATATATTTCTTCAAGGCTGACAAAAGGTAATTGATTTTAGGGAATGTTACAACTTTTTTCGAAAGAAGGAATAAAAGTCTTCTTTTTTTTTCTTGTGGAATGCAAGACAAATTTTTGATTTTGTTTGATACAAAACGAAAATTTTCCGTTATTGAAAGAGTCTACACACTCTCGTTTCATAGTAGAGCCAGCCTTGTTAGTCTTTGTCCTAGGATCCAAATTCAGAAGTATGTTCATCAATTGGTTTAAATGAATAACTTCCACGACCATCCATATATAAACAATACTAAAATATGAAAAATTTAATTTTTTTCTTTTTTGTAAAAAATTTATTTTACTTCATGATATTTCCATAAACTTTTTCGATG